TGGAGTCTAACTAAAGATCATTCCCCAGCCCTAGGGTAGTGGGCCCTTGGAACATCTGCCCAGGAGGATTTCAGATTTGCTGTAGCTGGTGATTCTGGGTGCCTCCAATTCTCCTTTCTGGATGGGATTGTTTATTACAAGAATTCTACCCCTCTTCAACCATTGTTTATTGGATGAATGAGGGGCATATAACTTGTCTTTTTAGTTCATAGGTTTCCAGACCAAGAGGAGCCACATCTAGATTGGACTGTAGGTACTTTCAAGAAGTCCCAGAAATTTGTCTTATGCTATAATTACATGGGCATTTTATGACTTTTTTCCAAGGGAAAATGAATGTATTTTGGGTACATGAGGGAAGGAAGTGTATATTTGTAATGATCTGTGGTAGATAGTATGTCTTTCTCAGTTATCGTTGCTCTCCTATGAGAGAATTACACATTCTACTTCTCTCAAATCAAGCTTAGTCATGTGACTTACTCTGTTTTGCTGCTGCCACAAGAATTGCATTCCCAGATAGAGACTTTTCCTTAAGCCTGGGTCTCAGAATGAAGAAGGCATGGAACAGCGTTGCAGTCAACCCTCATCTGACATAAAACACAAGCAAGAAATGAACATGTGCTGTAAGCCATTGAGATCTGGAGGTTATAGACTACTGCAACACAATGTAGTGAACACAGGTTAATACCGTCTCAGAGCTAACTACAGCAGAGCCAAAACAAGAACAAGGCTATTGATTCCCACTTACAGGGTTCTTTTCCTGGTATCTCAACTCCTTTCATGAATTCAGAGTATGTTTGAATGTTTCAAAGGTGGTCACAGTTTTTAAAATACTGTTGTTAGGGTACACACGAATATTAGAATATTCAGATATTTGCACAGTCCATCAAAGTACACTCAGGACATGTCTACACAACCAAGTTAAACAGAAAATGGAAGCAATTGCCTGACTAATTTAACTTCTGATATCCCTTGCTTCAGTTATCTAGATGTTTAAAGGGAAAAATATTCAAAAATTATTCATTTATACTCTCTTGGGTTTTAGACTGACTCACGTATAGATGCAATCTTAAAATTTCTAGATTTCCACTAAAGCCAGTTTGAAGTAGGATAACTCTCAGAATGGAACACTAGATAAAAATGGACTTTTTCTTTTCCCACCTGAGAACTGGTTCCAATAAAATCCTGACTAAATTAACTAGAAATCCTTGCACAAGGGTCCAAAACCACAAAAAAAAAATCATTGCAGGGAATAGTCTCGAATTATCACACACCATTGCCAACTACTAAAAGTAAGACTCACAGCAGCATCATATTTTAGTGTCCAACTTGGAGATATCATTTAATCACTTTTATCTCACATTTGGATTGTCTTGTTTTATGGAACTGCCTTACCCACTTTTTTTTTCCTATGAGTTAATGAGCCTAATGTACCACTTTCTGTGTTCTGAGGTAACTGCAACTTAAATATATTCAACCTCAATTGTCCTTTATTAAGGGAGAAGGTCTTTGCTTCACGGCTGAATCTGAAAGCTGTTTAGGATGAGGTTGTGTCTTTATAATAAACCTGCTATGGAGAAGCTGCCATTTGGCTCTTAAAATGTTTTATTGTAGCAAAAATGTAGCCACCTATATTCATTTTATTTTCCACTGTTCCTATCCTATTCTCCTATTCTCTTAGTTTAAATGTTTTTGTTTTGTTTTGGGTATTTTTTTTTTTCCAAAGGTGATTTTTTTTTTTCTCCTCCACGTTTTAAAATAAAAATGTAGCAAATCTATTCAAAAATCCTTGAATGTCAAGAAAGCAGAGAAGATTTTGTGAACCATTTTCTAAATGAGAGAAAAAAAGGGAATTAAAAGAAAGAAAGAAAAGTATATTGTGTCTCAAAAACAGACGGAGTTTGCCCTGGTTTTTGAGTACAGCTTTTAAAAAATTGTGGCCCAAGTGGTGATGGTGAAAAGACCATCACACTGAGTCTCAAGAAAGCAAGGTTCCAGCTTGGGTTCCTCAACTAGCTGAGAGCACGACCTGAGGCAAATCTTTCCTCCTTTCTGTTTCCTTATCTGCAAAGGAAGCTATTAGATCAGTATCTAGTTATCTCAGTTTTCATTTGTCACCTTCTATGATTCTAAAGAAATAACTTTAGGAAGAGGAACTATTTGGTCTAAAGAGGGGCTTATCCAGTGTGTGTTCAGAGGCCGGCAGTCTTCATGATATTAGAGGTGTGCTGTCCAAAGTGGCTAAAAATTCAAGAGATATGAAAAAGAAAATCTAACTATTTTCCTAGATCAAGGCAATGTTTAATGCTCCAAACGCTGCTGGTAGTGCATTGCTGTTTTTATTTTTTGAGAGTTCAACAACCCTTATTGGGAATCTTTAAAATAATCTTGTCTTAGTTCTGTTTTTATTTTGTTTTTCTCAGACCTTGAATTGTCAGCCACCCAGCATGAAAAGTAAGTTATTTTTTGTAAAACACGTTAAAGGAAATGTACCCATTCTGAACCTTTCTGCAGAAAATGACCTCTTGCCTACAAAATTGCCAAAGCATTTGTGTTAAAAAAGTGTTCTTTTCTCCTAGAGGCAACTTGGTATATTTTGCTTTATGCCCTTGACATGTTTTAAAGGTTAAGAAAATGTTCAATGTATTTCTTCTTCTAAAGTTAAAGGAATCACTTCCTCAGATACGGCTGCTTAATGTTTAATACTCTTTAAAAATAATTAGAAAGCTAGAATCTGTGAGGGAACAAGGTTCAGTTTTTGTGTGAAGTATGATTTGCAGATCTGCTGCTGGTGCATATTCAATATTGTTTGGGGAAGTTGAGACAGTTTAGGGGAGACGGTAAGATGAGGGTGGGGAGAATTTGAAAAGTCAAGTCATTTCTCTGTGACTCTCTCCCTGTGGGGCTATCTTCTTTGACACTCAGGAGATATAAAATAAGGAAGTAACATAAGCATCCTCTAAGCCATAGCTTTATTAGCAATTTTCACTTTCGCTTGTACAAATGAGAGCTGAAAGCTGAAAGAACAAAGGGGATTAAATGAAAGCACTGCTCTTGAATTTTAGCTTTCTGAAGTTTTGAAAATAAATGATGAGTTTGAAATGCAGTTTTCCAAGTGAGTTTGGGGTTATTGACTCTTGGTCCAATTGTAAAGGTGTGGCGACATAGAAAGTGAGCGCACTAACCCCACTCCATCCCCTCAGGCTAAGCCACAGAGGGAAGCTAAGTTGCTTTTTTTTTTTTCCTCTCTGGCCCTCACTTTCCCACCCTGTAAAAAGAAGGCGTTGGAGTAAATGATTTTTAGGGTGCCATTTTGTGACAATTCTTAGGTTGTTTTTCAATGTCCCTATCCTTTCAGTTCTCTTGACCCCTAGAACTTTCTTGATATTGTACCTTCTAATGTTGGGAGAAATAGATCTAGTGGATAACGCTTAATGTGCTACCTTCCAAAGGTATTTAATTATTTTTTGCTGTCATTATTGTACATTTTATTTTTAATTTGGCTGTTACCACAACATTTTATCATTATTGATTTATGTCAACATTCATTTAGATTTATCTACAATTTTAATCACTTGTTTGCTTTTCATTTCTTCTTGTATTTCAAGCTTTCTACCTGTGATCACTTTTCTTCTGTTTGAAGTCCATGCTTCTTCAGAATTCTCTTTAGCTGGGCTTTGCCTCAGATTCTAGTTTGCCTGAATATATTTTTAGTTGGAGCATGGTAAGTGCTCTATTAAAGTAAGCCATTATTGTTATCTGAAAATATATAGTTTGTTTACTTATTTGCTTACTATTTATTTGCTCCACTAAAATGTAGGCCCTAAGAGGGCAGGAGCTCAAATTGTCGTATTCCTTGTTGTCCTCCATTGTCAGGCCAATTGCATAGATCATTGGAGGTGTTCGTTGAAGTCTGAATGTCTGAATGAATTCACTCATACTCTCACTCATTCTTTCATTCTATACATGTTGAATGAGTATCCACTGGGGGTCAGACACAGTGCTGGGCTTTGGGATTACAAAGATAAATAAGTCTCCGCCTCTGTACTAATGGGGCTAACTCTCTCATGGGAAGAAGTTAAGCAGAGATGTAATTGAAATACAATGTGGTAAGAGCTCTATTATGAGAAATCGTTGATCATTGATAATTCCTGGGGACTGGTGATACGGAACAGGAAGATGCTTTTGAATAAAGATTCCCTAAACAACAGATTCCCTAAACAGTTTATATTACTAACTTGTAAGACTGACCCAACATTTTGGCTTCTGGAAGTGATCTTGGGTAGGTCGAAGAGGGAAGTAGAAACTTGGTTATCTAGCTCTCCTAGATATCATCAAATTTTTACGGTTCAGGGAGGGTGAATTGGTGAACAAACAGGCATATAACACTGAAACTAATGAGTTGAAAGAAATAGCCTGGAACAGAAAGAACTGCTATGTTGAGAGTGGCCACCTTAGCCCGCACAGAATGATGATCATAGATGGCCATTATTTCAGGCTGTGACAAAGGCACTTTCAGTTCAGGATGGCTCTATGGAAACAGAGCAATATCCTTCGGAGTTTTCCTTTACTGAACTTCCAACAGAAGGACCTTGGAGAATATTTTAGGTAAGGAGAAGAAGCTAGGCATCATGACATAAAGAAACAAGCCAGAATTTTGAATAAAAGTATTAAATTCTAGTTTCTCTACTTCATAGCTGTATGATATTGGATGAGAGACTTGACCTCTCTGAGTATCTTTTTCCTTATCTTTAAAATGGGGATAAAAACATCTACAAGATTGTTGTGAGCATTGAAACAATGAACATAAAATATTTGGTACAGAGTATGCCTTCCTAGTCATTATTATTAATATTAATTAATTAAATGACAGTGGCAATAAATATGTATAATAAATATGCAAATTAATATGCAAACTAGTTTGAAACTCTTTGTTACTATTTTTATTATTGTTGATAATTTCTGCCTCCCGTGCTAGCAGCTTCAGCTCCTTTAACAGTCAGCGGTTCAGGTAGGCTGTGGTAGCAGCCCTGCCTTGTTTATATTCACATTAGTATACTGTTACCTGCTTGATTTTGTGTGAAAGGATTTCAGGAGTCATGGAAAAATCCATCAGTTGCCAAATTCTACCCTGGAGTCTGAAATACTTTCACAAGGGCAATGACCTTCCCCTCCCCAATTAAAGCTAAGACTTAGACATCACATTCTTCTTGGAAATCTTTCTTTGCTCTCTCTTCCTCATTTGTCATTCTACCATCTCCTCTACACACCTTCTAGATGAAATTAATCATTTCCCACTCTATGTAGTTTGTCCACATTGCTTACATTTACCATAATTTATGGAAACTAAAATGTTATTTATTGAAAGATGCATGTAGATATTAAAGATGTTAGAATGTGAAAAAATGTGAAATTGGTGAAATGTGATAAATTCTAAACTAGGCTGCAGGGTCTTTGAAGGCAGAAACTATATTCAAAGAATCTGGCAAAACTCCAGGTTCATTGGGCATAAATAACCAGTTTCAGAATTTTTCCTGTGGGTTGATTTAGATAGCTGGGCTTAGAAGAAGGTAAAGATATCATGAGGACATTGGGGAGTATGTGGTTAGTGCTGCTGGGAATGAAAGGAGGGGGAACATTATGCAGGGCAGGGAGATAGCCATAACAGAAGACAAGCATCACTGATATCCAGCTTTGATGAGGACCTTTCCTACTAAGAGCATATTTATAGTCTTAATTTTGCAACATTTTCAAGAAATATGGTCATTTCTATAACCGTCCCCAAATAACTTGGAATATTTTATGCACATAAAAATATAGTTTTAGATGGAAGAATCCCAATGCATTTAAAGCCCAAATGCAAGAAAGCATGTTCTCATACCAGTGAATTCATTTTGTAAATAGATGCTTATAACAAATTATAAGTAATTATAAAGTAATCGTGTAAATTATTAAGTGATATTAATATGGCATATATTTATAAGGGATGAATCATCGTTATTGAGCTTTTTGCAATACTAATGCTAATTACCAAAAGATGCATTAGAGTTTGGGAAAAAAGCTTTACTAACCCATGCCTGAGGATCTCAGGAGCAAATGAGAAATGTCAATCTGTAACCCATTTGTGTTAGATATGTGGTATTTTTCTTGATGTATTGACCTTTTCTAAAAGGTAAATTAGGTTAGTTCAGCATAGTTTGTTCTTTGTGAACCTGTGCTGGTGCCTCATGATAACTGCTTCTTTTGGCAGAAATCTGGCAGGAATTATCAACCATTGCATTAAACTGTCCCCCTAACTCCTAAAGTGACCTTTCCCAACTATGAAAACCTGGACCACAATTACGCACCTATGGGCTACTCATATGTATCATTATTCCATCATTTCTCAAAGATGACTGATATTTGTTTTATGATCAATTTTCCATTGTATTTTAGCACTCTGGGTATAATTATTGGGATTGCACACTTGCATTCTTTTAAAGCAACTAGTTATTTTAATTCCAGCTAAATTTAACCAAAATTTGCCCACCGATCCAAAATCTTTAATCTGGCATTTGAGATTTCCCAACCCTCATAACCAGAAGTGATGCACCTTTCTTATTGTTAACCATGACTCAAAAGTCTCAAGAACGTTCCTTCCAAATGAAATGCGTCAGAATTCACTACACTAATGAGTATTGTTTTATAAAACCCTCCATAAGCTTTCTTGAATCAGGAGTTAAGGTCTGAGACAGTAGATTTACATCTACCACTGAGTAAGGGAAATGCACATAACTAAAAAGCTTGTTTTAATTAAGCAGAAACCTTTGTGCTAATGAAGAAAAAAGGTTGAGGAACTCTAGCCAAAACCAGATTTATCATAATTAACATATATCCATTTTGTTTTCTCTCCTCTATATCTGTGCTTATGCAAAACTTGCCTGAGAAATGATAATTGAGATATAATTGAAAGATGACTAGGAGTTAGGAATTAACCAGGTGAGAAGTTGGAGAGGGACATTTCAGGCAGGTGAAACCACATATGTCACCCATGTGAAGCTGCAGGTGGGAAAGCCATTTGCCATTGGAGGCATTTAAAGGTCAAAGGGCCTAGTACAGAGAGCAAGGGAAGACTGGCATGAGATGAAGCCGAAGGCCTGGTGTGACTGATGAGGTGTTCACGGAAGAGTGATAGTGGCAGGACATGGGGTGAAAAGCAAGGCTACTTCCAGGTTCTGAAGGGCTGTGCATAAAATGCCCATGGACTTAGAATTTGTCCAAAAGTCTTTATAAGCATTAAGTTCCCAAGCAGAGTACTCTTATTTTAGAACGATCACCCTCGGGGTAGCGTGAAGGATAAGTGAGCGGAGAGAAGCTGGAGGTGGGAGGACATCGACGTCAGGAATGTGCGTTAGGAGGCAACCGTAAGGGTCCAGAAGAAAGACGGTAGGAGCCTTACCCAGGACAGCGAGAGAAAGGGGACTCCGACTGGTGGAGTTGGAGGAAGTTCTGTGTAGCCGAGGGAAACAGCTGAGTTCTTAGCCTAAAAGAGTGGAAATACGTCACAGAAGGAAAAAAAAAGAATAGGGAGACATTGTTTCCCTAAATCCCTTCTGTTATTTGCATAATAATTTAATTTTACCTCCCAGATTCCTATGCCCGCTCATCATGGCCCTCAATGGGGCTGTAGTGGCCGTCAACACCGCTACTTCAATGCGAAGTCCAGCTCACACTGGGGTTCTCCACTTCCAGGCTCATGACAACTTAGGGCATAATTGAATCACATGCCTGGACTGGGACATTTTAAGTAAGTGGGACCATTTTGATTGGCAGTCTTTTATTACTGCAGAAATAATAAAAGTGACCCAAACAGAGTCAGTATTAAGGTGCCCAGGAAAATGCTCATGCCCAGCAATCATAAAGAAGTAAGTCCCTTGACTCTCAGGCCACCCAATGCTGAATTCCTGTGGTGGGCTCTAATGAGACGGCCTGGAACTGGGCTGTTAAAAGCTGTGGAGGCAGCAAATGGAAGGCAGTTGGTAAGTGACTGAGGCAGGCTGAGACCGTTAGAAGACAGAATCCTGACTTCATTGACTGGTGTGGTAGTCCTGCAGGAAGAGGAATAGGTGTCTTTTAGTTAAAAGAATGAAATCCCTTCTTAAAGAGACCAGTGGTAGATGCTCTCATTTCTCATCTCACCCAAAAAAAGCAAAGGGAGTCCACTTGATAGGGAAGGAACAAATGGGTCAAAACTAAGATTAGGACATAATCCCTCAGCAGCCAAACGGTCTTTAGGAAAGGGGGGCAGTGCTGTGGAATAGGGACCTTTTAAAGTCTATAAACAGATAAAATCTGCTTTCAAAATTCCCATTTATTCCAGAAAGAATTAAAAATTTGGAGACTGGATACAGTAAATAATTTAGCATCTTTATAATTTATAATAATATCTTTATAATTTAGTATTTTCCCCATGCTGACATTCTATTATGCTCTGTTTTCTAGCATATACTATAAAAGGGCATATCATCTTACACATACACACACACACACCCCCACACCCTAAAGGCGTGTGCCAGTATAAAAGGCCCAAGGGCCTTGGGTGGGCTTTGTGAGGTGTTGCCCACAGGCACTGCAAGCAGTGTCATCAGAGTTGTCCATGAAGGAGGGAAGCCCAGAGCTCAGACCTGGGGAATTGTTTCAGTGCCAAGCATCATGAAACAGCAAATTAGGAACAGGTCTAGAAATGGAGTATGAGATGAGTTGAAGGGAATGGTTTAGGATGGAGCCTATGAATGGGGTGATCGTGTCAGGAGTCTTTTCTTGTTAATATTGGGTTTGTGGAGAGGGGTGGACCTGCAGTCTAAAGACACGGGGCATGCTCAGACAATAGTAGCAATTTGCCAGGAATAAACGAACATCTAGAGCAGTGATTCTCAAAGTGTTGTCTCTGGACCAGCAGCATCAGCATCACCTGAAAACATGTTAGAAATGCAAATTATCAGACCTCTCGCCATGTCTACTGAATCAGAAACTGGGAGATGGGACCTAGCAATGTGTTTTAATAGGCCCTCCTGATGAAAGGCAATGTGGAAATGTATCCACATGGGAGGTGCTGAGGGGGACAAAGGCAGGAAAGAAAGGTATGGGTTGGGAAGAGTGGAGTTTTGTTTTAAGTAAATCTGTCTCCTCTAGGTGTAAGTGATATCTGCTTCCCTTCTCCTGACTTCATGAAGCATGGAAGAGGAGATAACAGGAATCCTAGCCCAATGATCTGAGGGTTATGAAAGTAGTATAACAAATTGCCTTTAGGAAATTATCAAGGTGGTACCTACTTTGTTATTTTTCCCCCACACTCCTAATATAAATGTAAACCATAATTAATTAAACAAAAAATCTGCTACATTGATTTAGATGGAGCTCAGCTCAACTACCACTGATTAGTATAATCACCTTGGATGTGGAGGCCACAGAATTCTTAGGGGTGGGACACCTTTCAAATCTTCTCAGCCAAAGAAACCAAATAGCTCCTAATTCTTGCCCCCTCACTCTTCCGAAGGAGTTTAAGTACCTCATGGGGGTTAAGATTTTTCAAAGCACTATTTGAATGATATTAACTTGGAATATTTTCTTCTAGCCCACAAAGATTTAATTTTTAAATTTAATTTTTAAATAAGCTTGATCATTACACTCAATTGGTGTAATCTGAGCTGCCAACATCCATGTCCTGGTTACTTCTGTGCTCTGCTATTTACAAGCAGGTTGCAAGGAGCTCTTGCAAGTCATTGCATAATAATCAATTTGCTTTGCTTTCCTTCTAGATTCATTAAAGTGTCTTTGAGGATGCCCATTAAGCACGCATTTCTCATCAACTAAGTGGTTCAAAATGAGGGCCTTTGAACACTTCTAATTAGCTGTGTAAAGTTTAGAACAAAGTTAACCGAGACCCCAAAAGACTGTTGTTTGGCATTTCAGGCCCCAGATTGCTAGTTGCCAAGTAATGCAAAATCAAGAGTGCAGTTTTTCTGCCCTGAAGATCTCTTTGAAAAACCAAGATAAAAGGAAGTACACTATTTACAGGAGTTGTCACATTTGTGGCTAATAATTGTTATTTAGGTTAACTCACTTGCATAAGAAATGTGTTGCCTCACTTGGAGAGTGATGACTAGATTTTGCAAGCCCTGTAGGCCTTTTCCAAGACTTGAGCCAAGGAAGGGCTAAAATCGAAGAGCTTGTTATAGTACTCCAGAATGGAAAATTTGTCTTTTTTGGAGGAAAGCAACTGTAAAATAAACTCCTATCTAGCTACCAGAATGGAGGGGCCTTAGCAAGATCACCTACAAGGTATTTGAAGGTATTGAGAAAATGGGTGTTCTCTCAGAGGTCTCCTCTTAGAATAGTGGTGATTGTCAACCTTGGCTGTGCATTGGAATCACTTGAAGAGCTTTGGACAAATGATGATATCTGGACCCCACCCCAGACCAATTAAATAAAAATCTCTGCTGGTGGCGTAGCCAAGGCATGGTTATTTTAAAAAAGCTCCTCAGATGATTTTAGTGGGCAGCCAAGGTTGAGAATTATGTCTTACAGTCTGCTGGTCATCATTTTCTGGTCTCTAAAGAATAAATATTGAGTGACCGGCCCCGTGGCTTAGAGGTTAAGTGCGTGCGCTCCGCTGCTGGTGGCCCGGGTTCGGATCCCGGGCGCGCACCGACGCACTGCTTCTCCTGCCATGCTGAGGCTGCGTCCCACATACAGCAACTAGAAGGATGTGCAGCTATGACATACAACTATCTACTGGGGCTTTGGGGGAAAAAAGGAGGAAGATTGGCAATAGATGTTAGCTCAGAGCCGGTCTTCCTCAGCAAAAAGAGGAGGATTAGCATGGATGTTAGCTCAGCACTGATCTTCCTCACACGCACACACAAAAAAAGAATAAATATTGGGGCCTATTTGGGTTAAAAGGATGTCCCTTCCACTTCCTACTCATTAGAGAATAACCATTCCTCTATTTCTTTTTCAGAGAAGTAGCACAGATTATCCAAAAGTCACTGTGTGTTTTATTGATTGCCTTGTTAACTCTTTCAAAATGTCATCCAGCTGAACTTTGCATAAATAAATAATAAAATTCGTTTGCATTCAAACTAATCTTATAAGCATTCATCCACTAAGTATAGAGATGCACTTTTAGGGGGTTTGGAGGCTACTGATCTTGAAATAGGCCCACAAAACATAGAGTAGATAGGCAGTTGAGAGTCAACTCTAATTAAGATATAGATATTTTGATGTCCACAGACTTTTCCTTAGTACCTTTAGATTCTAGAGAGTTGATGTGGAAGAACCATGGCCCATACAGGTGAATTAGACAGAGGCTAACACATGGCAAATAAAGGCTCTAAGTAGATTTCAGCTGTGGTCCCAGATACTCTGCACTACAAGTTCACTGGAATTCCCAAACCTTGGTAAACTGGACTTAGAAAATCAAATCATCCATGTCAGTAAATGTAAAAAATTCATTTAATGTAAATGTAAAAAATGATTTAGTTCAGGGGTTGCAAACTGACTGCTGTCATTTCCTCAGTCAGCTTAGTGTTTTAAAACCTTAAGCCAGTGTAATTCTTTGAGGGTCGGTGTACTATGAAACAAGAGCCAAACAAGATTTGATATTCTTCTGGCTGTTTTGGTCAAAGTGGTCTTTTGGGAAACAGGTTTTCTTAACTCACTTTTCTCTTATCAGGGCAAACTGAGCAACATCTCACACTGTGTTTCCCCTACAAATATAGCAGATTAATTCTTAAGACCCAGACAAATTTACCACTAATAAATATTTGACAGTGTGAGATAATGGAAAATATATACATCGGCTTCTGCCCCCGATTCCTGGCAAACGATTCCTAAAATCCTTGTAAATTCCTCAGTGGTAAGAGCACTAGGAGCACATTTTATTCTAATGAGGAGATTCTGAGTGGGCTCTTCAATGGCTTCACCAGAAAGACCAAGCCATAATTAGAAGCTTTGAATTTTCAGCCTGGCTTCCCCCTATCATAACTTCTCCAGACAGAGGAGAGGACTGGAAATGGATTTAACAATTGATCATGCCTACGAGAGGAATCTTCCATAAAAATCCCAATATTAGGGATTCAGTGAGCTTCCAGGTCAGTGAACACATCCATGTATGGGGAGAGTGACTCACCCCAACTTCACAGGGACAGAAGCTCCTGTGTTCAGGACCCTCCCAGATCTTGCCTTATGTATTTCTTCATCTGGCTGCTCATCGGTATCCTTTATCATATCCTTTAATGAACTGGTAAACACAAGTGTTTTCCTGAGTTCTGTGAGCCACTCTAGCAAATTAACCAAACCCAAGGAGGAAGTTGTGGGAACCTCTGATTTATAGCCAAGTTGGACCAAGTCATGGGTAAGCTGGGGACCTATTACTTGTGATTGACATCTGAAGTGGGGTGGGAGTCTTGTGGGACTGAGCCCTTAACTTGTGGGATATGACACTATCTCCAAGTTGATAGTGTCAGAATTGAGTTAAATTGCAGGACACCCAGCTAGTGTCATTGAAAATTGCTTGGTGGGGGAAAAATCCCTGCACAGTTGGTGACCAGAAGTGTCAGAAGTGAAGTATTCTATATGAGTAGTAAAGGAGACACATAGGAAGGAGAACTGTAGGTTTTTCCAATACAGAGAGCAAGTGTTATTGTCTTATACACTTAAATATTACTTGTCTCCTCATTTAGGTTTTAAGCCCCATGTAGAGAAGAACCACTTATACTTCTTTTATACTTCCCACATTACATGCAGTATAGTATTATACATATCATAGTTGTTAAGCACATGCAGGGGGATGAGTGGTCTATTGGAGGCCACGCAGAGACGTGTGTATGTTACACATAAGGTACATATGTATACGATATATACCTGTATATAAATGGGGGAGTCGAGGGGAAGAACTGAAGGGCATTCTTAACAAATTATGAGTATTTTCCTTGCCCTTGCCAGTAGAGCATGTCACCAAGTGTAGAAACAGGACTAGTTTGAATGAATATCATAGATAAAAGAGTGTGGATGTTCTCACTGCATCAAATGCCCTACCTTCACATACTGACTGCCTGGTGGGAGGTGAGTGCCCCATACTAACATCTGGTAATAAATATTAAATAAAGAATGAAAACAAAAGTTAGTAAAAACATTTTTTTCCTCCTTGCCTTAGGCCTTGGTTCAAACTAATTTCACTGTGTCTTCTGTAGCTTCCTATGATGTAGAATTTTATTTTCTGGGGAATTGCAGACTCTCTTTAGAGGAGTATATTAAACAATTATTCTTATCATTGAAAGCTGCTCTTTGACAGGTATGCTCAGAGGCTAAAGAGAAACACCTTTCTCTGGAGGAAATGGGAAATAAGGAGAAAAGAATTCAAGATATAATTCTAATGTGTTACAGTCCAGCTATACTAGAAAAAGGTGATGAATAATTCAGAAGAAAATAAAGTACAAATTTGGAAACTTTTGTGAGCATACTAGCAATCTTAGAAAAAGAGATAAGTAGACATAGAGAAGAATCTAGCTAGATCATTGGATGTTGGCTTAGAATTCAGTATTATTTTGTTTGAATTCCAGTTCAGGCCTGGTTCCAGTCTAGACTGGCCATGGCTGAAGGGTGGGAGGAGGGAAGAGTGAGCATGTGGACCAGAACTACAGTGGTGCGAAGTATGTCTCTTCCTCTGTGCAATAAGAGGGGGATCTCTGATTTCTGTCTCTGCTTTAGTCATGGTGGTGTTTACCTAGAGATTGCTAGCATCCTTTGATAGGACCACCTCACGAACTCCCAGAGTTGTCTAAACCTGACAGATAAATTTAATGTTGAAAAGATAATAACCATATAGCCCCTGCATCAGAGTTCAGTTCAGCTTGTTCAGGAGTGCTTTGACATTCTAGCGTCTAGTCCCTGCTTGCTATTCTAGGCCTACGAAACTGGCTTGGTTCTTTTTGTCTTAGCTCAGCCCTGGAATGGGAAACCATGCCTACATGAGAGATCCTACTAGTGTTCATGAAACTTCTATTTAGCTTTATTCTAACTCATATGTTCCCCCTCCCAGCCAGAACAGTCCCATCTCTACCCGTGAGGAATGGTGACAACATTTCTCTTTTTCATCTTTTTCCTCAAATTCAGTGCCCTGTGAGAATCTCAGATTATTTTCATTCTCCTGGATTCTTCTAGGTGAATGACGATTTGGACTTTCCCTCTTCCTCCATCATCATTAGGGCAGATTGGAATCATTATGAGGTTGGCTGGGAACTTAATGATTCAGAAAGTTGAAGGTCTGGGAGACTCGCTGGCTGCCTTCTTGAATCCTGGTCTGTATTAGGCAATTGGAAATATGACTTCAGATGCTTTGCCTGGGATGCCTTCAGAAATCATTATCACTTAAGCTCATATTTCAGCTACCATGAAATGGGTAACTTGGACAGAATTATTCTCTCAGAACACCTCTTTCATGAAATCATATACCAAAATTGTATGCTTTTAATGAACATTTAAAGTGATCCATGAACATTCTGAAAGTCTTTCTAGTCACTCTCTCTTGTATGGAGTACGGCCTCTGAAAGTTGGGAGAGGAGGTTATATACACAAAGATGAACCAACAGGTTGTCATCTTATGCTAAATCTCAGTGAGAGAAAGAAAGAGAAAAAAAACCACCTTATTTTAAAAAGGAAAAATTAAAATTTAAAGAATGAGTAAAAATAAATATGGTCTTCTTAGTGTCTTAGAAGAATATGTATCTTGTTTCTACAGGGAAACACCCTCTTGCTATTGTGATTTTAGAGAAGCCCTCCACTTTCTGCTGGGTTGTGCTCTGAAAGTTCATTTGTAACTTGGATTTTGGTGCTTGGTGACTATAACAATGTTATAAATAACAGTGAGGTCCCCTGGCCTATCCACTGAGTCCATCGAATTCACAGAGTAGCTGAAAGATCGCATATTTGCAACATACTAAAATCCTCAATGTTGGTTCTTGAGAAGAGTAAATTTAATTAAAATCGAATTGGGAAATAGATGCAGACTTTTTAAAAATTCTGAAAGGACTTAGGAGAGTCTTCAAGGAGCTTGGAGGTCAGAGATATTTCTCTTATTTTTATAGTTACCATGTGACTTACTTATTCTTTTCTTTTTTTTTTTTTTTTTGTGAGGTAGATCAGCCCTGTGCTAACATCTGCCAATCCTCCTCTTTTTCCGCTGAGGAAGACTGGCCCTGAGCTAACATCCGTGCCCACCTTCCTCCACTTTATATGGGATGCCACCACAGCATGGCTTGCCAAGCAGTGCGTCAGTGCACGCCGGGATCCGAAACGGTGAACCCCGGGCCACCGCAGTGGAGCACGCGCACTTAACTGCTTGTGCCGCCTGGCCAGCCCTGACTTCCCTTTTCTTTGATTCAAGTATTTCTCTCCTGGGTAGAAGTAGAGATATGATTTTTTTATTTTTATAAAGATATGATTAAGATCATTTTTATAAGATACGATTAAGGTCATCTTTTTGTTTGCTTGGTTTGGTTTGGAAGAATATGGGAGAGGAGAGGAGATTAATTGAAAGAGAGATTTTTCTGTAGTAACTTTGAAGTACTGAAAAAAAAAAAGAGATGATTAAGAAGAATAAGGACAGATAGATAAGAAAAGGACTTCTTGAGATGACCTTATCTAGATTGGCAAGAGGAAAGCAAAAAGCTGATATGGTTGTACAGGTCTTGCTTTGCACAGTTCTGATGGGCATGGCTTACAGTAACCGCAACTGGTGTTAAGTAACACCAGTCCTGAAAATACAGTTCAGATCTTAGTTACTGCAGTATATTAACTGTGAATAATTACATGCAGAACAAACTGCTGGTAGCTCTTCAATGTTCAAATCACTAAGTAAATAACAGATGCACATCATGGTCAGTGGCCGATTATTCACTTTTTTTAAAATCTGGTCGCTACACATCTATTATTCAGTTCACGCACAGAAAGCAAGGCATATAGTTATGTTGAGTCCTTGTCTCCCGGTGATAAAACCACATGCCTTTTTACACAAATGGGTAATCAAAGGAGAGAAGTGGCCCAGAAAGTTGAAAGTTCAGTAAAGAAAGAGGAAGTGATAATGCTGGAAGAGAAATTCAAATGGAACATAAATGGAGTTGTAGCACCAAGAGTTGACCTTGGGAGTGTTGACACTGCAATCCTTCGAGAGACTGCGTACGCAGCCAGAGAAACTGAGTGAAGGCAAACTTACTGACACAAAGTGGTTGTGATAAAAAGGGTGAAGATATACTAGAGAAAGTGATGCCAGTAAAACTGTTCAAATTAAAGGAACTCTTGGAGATATTTCATAACATTGAAAATGCAAAGGGTAAACGTTGGAAGCCGATCCAAACTTAATAAGGAATATGATAATTTGCCAAGACCTAGAAAAGAAGCTCACTCTGTATTGTAAGTTACATGATGAGAAAAAGAAGGGAAGCACTGTTCAAAGAATACTTGATAAGTTTTAGACTTGATAAGTTTTTTACAAAGATATAAAATGCTTTAATTTTCAATGTCTCTAATGTTTTAAATTACAGTGTACTAAATAAATGTTTTGCTATTTTTCATCACTTTATGCATTTATAACTGATAATAAGGTTTTTAATATTTTGTCATTTTTAAAGATCACAGAAAAATTATAATTTTCTCTATTAAAAATTAAAGATTACTTTGCATAGTATCAGCTTACACAATCATTTTTATGGTCCTGGACTACCATGCAAAGGGAGGATTGCCTGTATTCTCATTAAAGAAAAAGAAACATCGAGTCTGATCTTTTACTATGCACAAATGAGATGGTTCTGTTTGTCCTGGACAGCTGGATTGGGTAATCTTCACTCCCTGGGAACCCTTGCATACAGGACGTATGCAAATTAGAGTCCTGGAATTTGACTCTACCCTGAACCAACAGAAATAACCTTCTACCTTAAACCAAGTTCTTAATGGCTTAGAATCACAGACTCTTAGTTTGGGAAAGGACATTATCTGGTTGCAGTTTACAGATGATGAAACTGAGGCCCACACAGCTTTCAAGTTAGAGACTCATCTGAGACCACACAGCTGGTTTGTGATGGAGGATTAAAGAGAACTGATATCTCTTGTCTTCTGGTCTACCCCTTTCTCCTCTGAAAGAAAAGCAGAGTACATCCTTTATGAGACCACTATGGAAGATGTTGGGGAGGAGTCTCCCTGCTCACTACCTGCTCCTGTAGACATAAATAACGGCTGTATTGAAAATGCTGGCTCCCTGTGAATTCTTCTGTTTCCTTTTAATGCTTTAGTATTTTTCTACCAGCCTTAGAGTGCCTCAGAAGAGCATTTGAAATAGGATGAGATTCCCTTGACATTGTTAAATCAAGATCTTTTTCAAGGTAATTTCTTAAAAGCTGTTTAGGTTGTCCCACTAGATAAATACCTGCTGATGACTATTCTACTCCCCCGCTAATTCCTGAGATTTTCTTTGCCTGATTGCCTATTTAGTTTGT